ATTCACTGCAGTAACCTCAGGAAGTAATGAAGTGTTCTGCCAAAAAATGTTTTATTTCCCCAAATTTTGGGAAGTAGGCAATCTGGCTCTTTGCTTGGATGACTTTCTAGGGAACAGGAAGTTAGAATGGACTTACTACTTCTAACCCTGCTTTTCTGCAGATATAGAACTTGATGTCTACACTCACCCAAGGCCACACTAGTGAGATTGGCTTGCATAACCCAAAAATCAGTTAAAATAGTGGAGGTAAACAGAAAGGCAGCATCTCAGGATTCTGTCTGTCTAACCTTCAAGGGCTGCACATAGAACAGAGTCCCTATAGTACCTGCTACAGCTTTCCACCTGCACTCATCAAAGGCAGCAACATGGATTTAATTCCTTTAGAGAAGATATTTGCACACTAGCTCTCATCCTGGCAGCTTTAACATTTTATAAGCCTGTCAGGGAAAGCCCTCTCCTTTTCATTCGGACATGACAGGTGTTACTAGGATTATCTGCACGTGCATGGTGGTTGTGATCTGGAAAGAACCTGGAATGATGTTCAACATTTGGAGAAGAGCCGTTCATGTATTGTTTTGGTTATGCTTCATTTAAAGCTGAGGTTTTAAAAAAAATTTTTTTAAAATATTTTATTTACTTACTTTAAAAATTAAACGTATTGGGGTGACTTGGTTAGTAACATTACATGAGTTTCAAGTGTACAGTTCTATAATACATCATCTGTATATTGCACTGTGTGCTCACCACCTAGAGTCAGTTCTCCTTCCGTTATCATATATTTGACCCCCTTTACCCTCTTCAACCTCCCCCTTAGCCTCAAGCAGAGTTTTTAAATATATGGTCTAACTACAATACACTGGAACTAATTTAATAGGTGGTAAACCAGCATTTAAAAACTAAATAACAAAACAAAACAAAATACCAGGTGCAATCCAGATGCTTTGTGAAATTTTCTTTCAGATGTGTATGTATGTGTGGCGGGTCATTGCGTATACTGAAATGATTCTCAGCAAGACTTACAATTACAAGGGATGTATTATTTTTAACTCTATTTTTATTAACTAATAATATTTAACTTTAACTTTATGCTAATTCAATTCAGACAATTCAGTGGATTTATCTTTTTTAAGGCTAGAAAAATTCATCTAAACAAGCAAATAGGCCTTATGTCCTATCGTGTCCTGGAATTACCTTCTTACCTTTCTTAAACTCATTCCTTAAAATAATGAGCATCAAAATTGAATGTTTTCTTGAGAACAAGTTTAATCTTGGTAAGCAATCATGAAATGTGAAATAAATGTCTAACTCTAAAGGCAGTTTTTTCAGAGACTGCTAATTGTCTACTTCAAGGTTTATGGATAAACAAATTATAATTTTTACCCACACATCTTTCTTTCATCCAGTCATTTATCATTAACTAAATTCATCTACTTAGCAAAAGGCACATATTATTTTGCAAGACTTCATTGGCTGGAATAAAGTGACAGGAACAAAAGGACAGACTGCAGAGTTAATGGGAAGCCAGGCACAGTCGCTGACCCTGTTCAGACCCATCAGAACACACTACTTGGTGACCACACACCAAGGCGGTAGATGACCAGTTGGTGCTGTAAGAGGGCACAGATTAAGATGGTGTAAAGACAAATCCTGAGGGACGTGGGAATGACTTCCGCATCTGCATGGAGGAATTTGAGTCCTTGACTGTTCATGCACTATTTTGGTCATGCCTCATTTAAAGCTGAGTTTTTCAAAATATGGGCTAGCTACAAGATGAGGACATTAATTTAATGGGTGGCAACTGGCACTTAAAAAAAATGAAACAGTAAAACAGAAACTATCAGGGTACATTCCAGATGCTTTGTGAAAGTTTTCTTGTGTGTGTGTGTGTGTGTGTGTGTGTGTGTGTGTGTGTGTGTATGCGCACGCGTGTGCGTGCACGCATGTGCACGCTTCTGTGAGGATGCACACACACGTACAATGCCTTTCTTACTGTGGATCATAGCCAAAAAAGCTTGAAACCACTGCTCTGAAGGATTAGGGGATGGGAAGCAGGTACCCAGCTCCTGCCTTGTACCCTAGGGTTCTGACTTTGCCTCAGAGAACCGCTAAGAAAAGGCTCCAGGGAAGGGTTTTTCACAGGTCTTATCCATAGAGCTGGGACTTACCTGAAATAAGAACGGCTGAAGTACTAGGTCCTGTTCTGAGGCTCTTTGCCTACATCCATTCATTATATATGAAGGCACAATGACCCTTTATAACAGGTACTGTTGTTACCACCCTCATGCTACAGATGAGGAAAATCAGGCAGAGACAGGATGGAACCTCTAGTTAGCGGCGCAGCTAGAGCCAGACACCAGAGCACTCTACCCTGTGCTGCTCTGGATTTTTCCTGGTCTTGGCGTAATCAGTCCATCTAACTCTCTGAAGGGTCTTAAATTAAGTGTCTCTCTGATGTTTGATTGCAACATTACCCACACTTAGAAAGCTCACATTACTGTCAGTGTCCTTGTCACACTTATATATTGCCTACTACATGCCTGGAGTTGTTCTCATCATTTTATAGACGTCTTTTCCATGAAACAATGGATATTCTTCATATGAGTAATGTTTAAGTGCCTAATCTGTTTTAGTCCAGTCTATTAAACAAAACAAAACAAAACCCTGCTGTTTTTTTAACCCACTACATTGATTTCACAACCACTAATGGGCGTAATCCAGTTTGAAATTACTCTTTAGCCATGTCTACCAACAGGTAAAATACTTGTGAAGGAGTTAAATTAGCTCATGTAAATTCTGGCATTATTTTCTTACATGAAAGCCAGGTGAAGTAGTTCACCAGCATCACCATTTTGACTGGCAATTTTTACCAGCGGGTATCCTCCACACCACTGCTGCCAGGTTACAGTTATTTATAGTTGTTTATAAATAGTTTATAGTTATTAAAGTGTTTCCACTGAACAGGTTCAGAAAAGGCCTCCCAGCTTGGCATTTCAAGCTGAAGGCAATTGAGATCCTGAGGGCCCAGGAGAAACTTTGATCTCACCCTTAAAGAATTCAAATTGGGGGCCTTGCCCATAGTAAGAGTTACTACAAGAAATAACTTGGTTTTTTTTTTTTTAATTTTGTCACCTATCTGGAGGGCAGGGCAAAGCTCTAATTACTGAACACCTGCTCTTCAATGACCTCCCTCTCTTCTGAAGCCTTGGGTGACTTATCTCATCCTTAGCTGAGAATGTCATAGATGCAGCATTTTAACTTTCTGTCTCTGACTCTCATGTATGCGGGGCTCCCAAATGTATATGTAATTAAATTTGGTTATTTTCTCTTGTTAATCTCTCGTGTCGATTTAATTATTAGACTAGCCAAAAGGTCCTTGAGGGTAGAAGAAAGTTTCTTCCTCTGTACACCATTTTATATAATTTTCACAACCATGTGGCACTTTGAACATGAACATCCTTATTTTGAAGCAACATTAATAGATTCAGAGAGGGTGAGGGACCTGCTCAAGGTCTTTCAAGTGAATCAGAAATAAGAACTTCTGACCCAGTATTGTGTTTCTTTTCTTCTTATAATGTAAGTCTCTGTCTCTGATGGCAGAAGCAACATTATTTGAAAATGCTAAAATGTGTTAGGGAAATAAAAATTACCTGTATGCTCTTGTGGGGGTTCAGAACAAGCCACCCCAAGATGTGCCTCAGTGGTATGCAGAGTATTTTGAGCTAAAGATAACTTTAGCTTTAGGCTCAAGAGGCACTTCTGCCCTTCCCTTAACTACCTAGAAAAGAAGAACTTGAATTAGAGACCTTGCCCATAATAGAGTATCAGCAATAATCTCTTTTGACCCACCTATATGATGGGGCAAATTTCTCTTTACTAAACTGCTATTATCATTTTGCAATGATGCTTTAAAGTCCCCAAGGCACCTTACCTCACCCCCTTGCTCAGAATGTCCTACATACCCATGTTCCCATTCTGTCTCTGAACTTCTGTGTGTCTCTGACTCTCATGGATATGGGTTTCCATACATACTTATGTATTAAATTTGGTTCTTTTCTTTTGCTAATCTCTCTCATGTCTTTGTGGTTATTCAACTAGCTGAAAGAACCTTGAAGGCAGGAAGTTTGTTCCTCCCCCACGCTCTTTTTAGTGATAGCCCTTTCTAACCTTTATGGGTATTTTCTTCTATTTGGCGTATTTTCTATTTCTGCTTTTATAAAAATAGGACCACCTTAGACAGTCCATATAGAGATGTGCAAAGGAGCAGCCTCTTCAAGGGGAAGGTTCTTCCCCACCAAAGCCTTCCTTCCCACTGCTGAGAAAATCAGTTACCAGCCAGGCCCTCTTTTTCTGTGGACAAAGGATGTGAGGGAGAGAGAGGGGAGAGAAGGAGACAGGGAGGGAGCAGAGAGGAAAGAAGAAGAGAAAAGAGAGGAAAGGAAGGTGGGAAGATGAGGGGGAGGGGAAAGAAGGGAGAGAGGGGAGACTGTGTGCTCTCTCGAGTGCCAAGGGTGGTGTGGCGCCAGGACACTCACAGTGCTGGTGGGCAGTAGAGTCAGGACGTGAGCCCAGTGTTCCAGCTCCTGCTTCCTATGAACCTGTCATTATGAGCTGTGAAGGCCTTATTTACAGTATTTTGTTCGTGCTTAAAAACGTCTATATGACATGTTGCTTTTTGATGTAAACTAACTTTTGGTTGGGGCTCAGTAATCTTTTTGTTTTATATATATTTTTATACATACGTCATGTATATTTACAATATACATAAATGGAATTGACATAATCATGAAAACAATAAATTATTCTTAGTAATGTCTCTGAGTAAGATTTACACGTTACCATTCAATGTGTATTACATATTATAATATATTATGTATTATATAACATATGTAATATATGTTATATGCTAAATAGTAGTAAAAATAATAACAGTTGCAAAGGCAAAAGAGACAAAAGAAGTGACATAGGCATCCTGGCTGGTATAATCTTTGTGAGACAATTACCTGTGTAAAGAAACGTGTTGGAGTGTCCTCCCACCACGACGTCCACGCCCTTCACTTTCTGAGCAATGAGTTTATCCATTTCAAAACCAGAGTGTCCCAGTGCAATGATTTTGTTCACACTTAGAGTCTTTAGCTTATCTACTTCAAGTTGCAATGCAGGGATTTCCTCTTCAAACATTAAATTTGTTCCTAAAAGGAAGAAAACAAATAAAATGGATATTTATTAACAATTTTTATTGTTCTGCTTATTGTACGTACTAACATACCAAATAAAACAATTTTAATCTACTAAAGCTCTTAAATTACTAAGGCCAACACATACTTATAAATTAAATATAAAGCCAAAAAAACCCAACAAACCCCTGAAGATATAGATTCTCACTTAATGTTGCATTCGTTTAAGGTTGTGGATGGTATTACGTTGCTCAAATTCAAGCTCAAAGTATGAGGAGGCTTCATACCTGGAAGCCTATCTTTTTTTAATTTTTATTTTTTTCAGACTTCTATTATGTCAATGCAGAAAAATTCCTGCACTCATAAGTATGAAGTACAAAACAGATGACTAATTCTAAGGCTTTGTTCGCAAGTTCAAGATAATCAGCCTTCAGACTTAAAACTCTGTCAGTAACTAGTCCTTGAATGTCAAGTTTACCGTGCTAGTTGACAACTCTTGTCTTGTTCACTTGCTAAGGTCAGCATTAGCACATTTTTGAGCTCTGCATTAGACAGGGGTCCCACCTGAATAGCACTGCCCTGGGAGTGTGCACATTTTTCACTGACTGCTTACCCCCCACTGACCATTGCTCGTTGGTACCAGCTGGCGAGTGTGGGTGTGACTGCACAGCCAGGGTGCTCTGTGTGTTACAAGCATGTGCCATCCAGTGTAGCAAGACCACCAGTCTCTCCCTCTGTCTCTGAAGCCAAACCTCAGCAAGCCTTAAGGTCTTATGGCTTTTATTGGCACAGAAGGGCCTGCAAACACTGATAGACACACTGCCCTGAAGTCATGTCTAGTCCTCGGTGACAAGGGAGTCCTTCAGACGACCTAGACTCCTTTATGCAAAATTTCTAAGAATCATCACTAAAATGCAATTGCCAAAACATGAAGAATATCTTTTAAAGAACTTTCAAAACCTAGGAGCCTGACATCTCCAGTTTGGAAAGTATTCATCGCTCCAAAGAGCAGCAAAACTGTTAAGCACACCCCTTGGGATGCTGTGATGTTTGAGAATTTCTGTGTGCTCCAGCAGGGAGCTCTTGAGCACTGAACGTGTGTAAGATAAACAGCACGGCTAATGGCCAAGCCAGAGAGGCCTCTGGCTGACGGCCTCAAAATTAGCAGCTCACAGACATGTTGGATTGGACGGGGAGTGTTGTCAGTAACTCACAAGAAATGTTTAAAAATCAGGAATTGTATAACAGCTTTGCCCCCATTGTCTGCCGTGAGAAGGTCAAGAATAATCTGCTTTTTGCCGGCCACCCCAGTTAGCCCAGGGCTCCCCAGTTACCCCTCAGCACCATGTCACCTTCTCCAAGAGCCTCTTCCAGAGCCTCCATTTAAAAAAACAAGGTGTAGCCTTCCCCCATGCCACAAGCCTCTCCCTCCCCTCTTAATTCTCCATAGCACCTAACACATTCTGATTCACCAAATATATTACTCATTTATTCTCCCACTAAACATGTAAGCTTCAGTGGGCAGGGATTTTAATTTTGGTCCGTATCCCTGGTACCTAGAACAGTGCCTGGCACATAGGCACTCAGGGGAATGAATGAATGAATGAATGAATGAATGAATCTATGTTGAGACCTTCAGAGAATGCTGCCATCCTTTGCTTTAGTTTGTCTGGCAGGAAAGAATGAAAACATTCAGCAAAATGCCTCTGAGAACAAAGGGATGTCTTTGAACACATCAGAAATCTCACAGGATCAGTCATTACTATGGAATGCATGGGATATATTTCAGGATGTCATGAGGGAAGTTATAGGAATTTCATTATCTAGCAAAAATAAATGTGCTAGAGAGACAAATTATCCTGTGGGCACCAGGTCACCAAGCCTGGAGAGATGGGGCTGGATTAGGGGTCAGGGGTTTGAAGGAAGAACTCACGCTGGGCTCCTGGGGCCTGAGGTCTTAGAAGAAACAAGTGTCCTCAGAAACATTGCTGCACCCCTGCCTAGCTCCTGCCTGAGTCCCTAGCAGTACAGCTGTCCTCTCTGGGAGCTGCTGGAAAGAGCATCATCCCTGCACCTCCCCTTGCTGTTACCAACTGGTACAGGGCTCAGATGGGATGCTGTCAGAGTCCCAGCGAAGGCAGTGTGATTTCTAGAGCCCCCGTGTCTCTCCATTAACAAGTCACACTCCTTTTACCTTCTTATTGGTGACTATTAAAGAAGGGATAATTTGTTTCTCCAAATCATGCCTGAACTCAGCCATGCATTCAGGAGACCCTGCAATCCAGTCCTCATCCAACTTTCTAGCTTTCCCTGCTTAGCACCTGTGTTCCAGGAAACTGAACCGTGTGCTACTATGCGATTGTGGCCCCCACACTCCCCTGCTCTCATATATTCATTCCAGCAACACCTCCTGAAAACATCCCATAGGCCGTGCACTGGGCAGAAGAGAGCAGTGAATGAGACGGACCAGGTTCCTGCTCTCGTGGAACCTGAACCCTGGCATGTGACTCTGCCCTCACTTCTGCAATGCCCTTTGCCTCAGGATGCTTCACATGGCCCTCAAGGAGGCCAAGGGGTTCTTCACCACATTTATCTGACCCCCAACTAGGCTATCGCTCCCTTCACTCACCCCACTCCCAGCCCCTCCCCCCTCCCTGGCTTTGTTTAGGACTCTTACAGCATTTAATTACATTCTATCTTAACGCAAAAACCTGTGGATGCAATATAAATTATGGAGACACATAATTATTCAATTATTCAACAAATCCACATCTTTATCCAAAGATCCCAAGCTGGCCTCTATATTAGGTTCTAGATGTTCATTGACAGGAGACCCAGGCTCTGTCCTCAGTCTACTCAGGCCAGTGCAGCAATAAGGGGGATAAGGGGGAGGTGTTTTTTAGGGTGCTGGGCCCAGAGCTGGAGCGTCCAACCTCCTGGGGACTGGTGGCAAGGGCCGCAGCAACTCAGCCTCTGCCGTGACTGAGCCTTGTCACCCCAGCTCTACCCACACTGGCAATTGGTTTGTTATGAGTCAGGCAGCCCGGTACACTCTGTAATTTCCACCCTCTCCTCTTTGCAGAAAAGTGTCAGGAGGCCCAAAGCAGCTGCAGCCCAGGAACCCCAGGGGAGGTCTGATCAGCTGAGTGGCCCAGTCTGCAGGGGGAAGGAGAGAGACCGAGTCAGGCCTGGCGGGTCGCAGGAAGCAGCCTGAGACTGTCAGTCATGGCCTTCTGGTGGGACCACATCCTTCTTAGTCAGAAGAGTAAGTACTTCTAAAACATTTCAAAAGCCGCGACTTGTATGTCCACTACCACTCTCTGGCTCCACAGTGACCTCAATAACAGCTATTGACTGTGTGTCACACACCGTGCAAAGGCTCGGTCACCTGTCTACTCACTGCCTGGAGCACCTGACAATCCTCACCTCCTCTCAGTGGAGAGCAGTCAAGCCCCATGCCTGCCCAGCCCCAAGCCGGCTGCAGGACCCTCTCTCATTAGGAGCAGCCATGCTGCTCAGGGTCAAGTACAGCTGACCTTTTTTGTTATTGCCAATGGCCTGGACCTATTGTAACAGCAACAATAAATACATTACTTTTTCTAGTTGTTAAATAATTATATGCTCTTTATCAGTTTATTCTTAGTGAAAATCCTTGATTCTACTAGCTCCCAGTTTCCCTTTTTTCTTCAAATATGGAAAGAAAATTAATTTGGATTTGGATAATATAGAAAAAATGTGTTTTTTGTTCTCACTGCCAAAGTGTTTCGGTGAAAGTGTTCCTATAAAACTGGCTTAAAAATGTTTCTTGAATGGTCTTAGGATTATATACAAATGTATGTAGATAAATAGATATATAGATATAGCCAATATATATCTGCTATGATATATATATATATATATATATATTCTGATGATATATATACATATACATATGTGTATATATATGTTTCAAAATATATATTTGACAATATACACATATTTCCCAGGAAGCCAGATACAATGAAGTCATTAAAACTACAAGAGCTAACGCAAAGGAAGAAAGGAGCGTGAACTAGACCTGTAACAATCATACTAGAAAAGGAAAGATGAGGTAAATGAGGTAACGCCCTGCTTCTGGGCCCCTGGCTGCACAGTAAGAGGAGCAGTAAGTTCCATGGCTGTCCTTCTCCAGTGAATGACTCAGCACTGTTTGGTCCTGGATATAAATGAACTTCTCTTCCAATTTTGAATTCACTGAATTAAACAAAGACACTGTTTATGTCAACAAAGGATTTCACTAAGCAGAAGGGCAGATGTCTTTAAGAAGTAAGTAGAACAATGTGGAGGTCACCAGACTGGTTTTATCAATGTCATTCTAAGGACACCATTTGCACAATACCACACGTTGTTCCCACTTTTACCTACAGTCCATAAAAATAATGCCAAGCTTGGATTTGGTGCATCTATTTTCAAGCATTGAGTGCTGTAAAAGTAGAAAATACCTGGCTTTGAGAGAACAGGGGTTTCTTTTGAAGTATATCCAACAATTCCCACAACTTCACTACCAACATTAAGAATTTTATACGGCAAATAAAGTCCTGACATTTGAGATGCTAGCGGCTCCTTTGCTTTAATGTTTGCACTCAGAATTGGAAAGTTGGCCTCTTTGAGGAGTGGATCAATCAGACCTTCTGGACCATTATCAAATTCATGATTTCCCAGGGCCTAGTAGAAAAAGAAAAAAGAGAAAAAAAAATAGGTACTCTTGAATTTCCAATAAAAGCATGCTTTAACGAATATTACATTAGCTCAGTGGCTCCCACGTCTGGCAGGGCTCCAGGAGGCTGACTGCATGACTTCTGTCCTCCTCACGCCCTGAGATTTTACTCAGTCGTCCTGGGGTTGGACCCAGGGATATCCAGGTATCAGGCTGGTTTGAGAATTGCTCCCTCGGTCCTACACCACCTGCTACACTGAAGGTGGCATCAATGTGTATAGGAGTCACCTGAGAGCTGGCTAGATCGCCCACTGTCCTGCCATCCCCAGATCTGGGGCAGAGTCTGCATTCACAAGGTGCTGCTCAGCCTTTAACCTTCTGTTTTCTCTCATAAACTCACATTTCAATCCACCAACCCAATCGTCTCAACCTCTATCTGCCAAAGAGAACTGTTAAAATCAACAGGACTATGGCAAAAGGTGACTGGAAAGTAGCCTCTCTTCAGTCAGCACATCTCTTCATCTCCTTGGTCATGATGCCCTTATGTTGTGGAATTGTTTCTTGCCAAGGAATCGGTGGTCTCTAATTCTTCTGGGTAAATGAAGACCCCCAAAGGCAAGCAGGAGATAGCAGTCTCCGTAGTTTACAGGGTGGCCCTGGTTTCTTTCTCTGTCAGCTCTGGGCCACCCTGTGTGTCATTCTCAGCAGTTTCCAATCTGAGGAAGAACAGGATGGTGAAATGATCACACACTGTCAACAGGTTCTGGACCTGCTTTTTGCACACGGCTTTGTCAAGAGCTGCTATAGTTTACTGCAACCCTTGCCTCCCACTGTTTTTTGCTCTCTCCCATCCCCCAATGCTCTGGGCGTGGCTACTGGGTGCAAAACAACCATTTGGACATCTGGCAGAGCGCCCTCCCCAACCCCCTGAGTAATACAATATATGACAGGCCAGCCACCTCCCCTGAAAAGCCTCCCACCCCTTTCTCAATTGGCTTCCTGGAATTAACCTGTCTCCTCTAATCACCTACCAACCTGCTCTGGCTGCCAAGGGTGTTTTGCTAACTTAGTATGTAAACCAGTGAGTCTCAGACTTTCTAAATACCACACCTGATTTTGCTTTACTTTGGGGTCATCTGGGAACAGACTTGGAAGTGCTGGCTGGTGACCCCTCAATCTAAATGAGCTCTCCCCTTGTTTTCTTATAGTTTCCTTCCTAGCACATTCCGCACTGTTAAGGGCATGTTTGTGGGGTCCTCGCCAGACTGAGTCCAACCACCTCCACCCTGCTCCCAACTGTAGCCCCTTGTCTGCCACACAGACACTCTGTGAGTGTATTAATCTCAAAGGATTGTGTATTATGTCCTGAAGTGTATATGTTTACACAGAGAAAGCAACACAGTGTCTTCACATTCCTATGTACCTGCTTCCCTAATTAAACTCAGAGTTTCTGAATCTGTCTTTCCCCCTATATCTGAGTATCTACTCATTTTTACCTCTTTCTCTTACCTATTACTTCCTTCTTAAAGTCTGACCTAGTCTTAAAGATTCTCCTTGTTTTGGATAATTGTCTTTATTTCTCTTCTATTCTAAGAACACCATGGTTTCTTCTTATGGTGAAATAAGTCCTCCTTATGGGATTTTAATAACTATCTTAACCGTAAAGTTTTTCTTAAACGAATGTTTCTATAGTTCTTCATGAAAGACGACCCAACGTGTCAGCCACCTTGCAGTTTACCAAAAGCATTATATTGCTGGCATTTGGAAATAGTTGAAGTTATATTTTTCATTTATTCCATCTTGGCCTAAGCTGCCACCATTTACCCGGTCAATAAAGCCCAGAAACCATGGAGCAGCCAAATCCTTCCCATTCACTCTTTGTCCCTCCCCTCCCAACATCATCCCTCCCCTTTGCCTGTCCATCCCACTGCTACTACCTGTGTGCATTCCTTGCCTCCCTTTCTGGACTACTTCAACAGCCACCTAACTGGGCTTTCAGCTGTCGTCATTCCCATCTCTACACCATCCTGTATAAAGCTGCCAGAACAGCACTTCTAAAATGCAAATCTGATCTTATCAACCTTGACCTTAAGGTCCTACAGAGGCTCTCCACTGTCTTTGTGATAAAATTAGATCTGGTCTCGCCCTCCCCTCTAGCCTCATTTCTGACACCCACCGCCTAATGTGTGAGGCAACCAGGCAGGGCTGTTGATCATGTGGAGCAACCTGTGCACATTTTGAAACCACAGCTTCCTCTGGAAGGGCAGTGAGTGAATAAAACAAAAGTTGTAATTTGAACAATGAGCCAGCATTTACTAAGCACTTGCCACACGCTTGCATCATGCAAAGTGATTTTGTATAGAAAACCTGGTTGCATGCTGTGAGGTTGGTATTATAACTATCCTCATTTTACAGATGAGAAATGTCTACTGATATCAGGAGACATTAAATGAATTGTTCAAGGTCACACCATTAGTAAGTGGTGGAGCTGGGACTAGGATCACTTCTGTTTGACTCCAACCTTCTTAAGCTCGATGACTAGATGTAAAGTGCTTTTCATTAGGCCCTGTGTATAGTGAGCAGTCAAAATCAAATCCCAACTACTTGCAGTTTTCCATGCTCTCGCTTATCTCTGTCCCTTTACATATGATAGACCAATGATGATCGATCAGTTGATAAGTAGGTAGAACAGAATGTTCCTTTTCCATGCCATGCCAATATCTTATTCAATGATGGCTTTAGCTGCTGAAGTCTGATGATCCTTCTAGAAGAGAGATTTCCCAAGAACCCTTTGCCACGTTCTCTGAGCAGAGAAGTATCCTTTGTCTGCTCCGATGGTCACCTCCATGCAGCCCTAGCAGACCTTGCACCTGCCCAATGAGTACCCCCTAATGCCCAGCACAGTCCCTGGAGCAGAGCAGGGACACAGCATCGAATGAAGAAATGAATAAGCAGAAAAATCTCATTTCTTCTAGACACAGCTACAAAAATCCATGCAGAAAAATTCCTTTGTAAATACTTATTTTCTTTAGAAACTCATGTTTTCATTTCCCCACTGACTTCCTCCTACCTGTTTCTCTCCCACGGCACTTATTACAACTTCATTATCCCTAAGCTCTTCAGAAGGAGGGTCTTGCCACTCACCTGAGCACACCATGCTCCTCCCACACTGCTGGCATGGAATGGGTTAAATTTCTCATTTCTATTCTTTTTATTAATAACATGAGAATACCTCAGGAAGAGTCTGCCCAAGAGAAGAACTTAGAGAGATAAAAGATGGAACATAACAGAGCAGATCATTGTTCCACATTCCTTTATATCTTACAGTGCATTTGTAGCACAAGCAGAGGGGAGTTTAAAAATTCATACTGCTGTAGTACTTCCCCTTTTTTTGTGCTCTGAAAATTCCCATCCACCTTCCCTTATGTGTGCTTGTCAATTTTTTTTTTTTTTGCTGCTCTGCCTACAGTTTCCCTCGTGCCTAACAACTCATCTTCATCTGAGCTAAACTTAGTGCTATAATCTTCACATTAGGCAAGTGACTTCCATGACCCTAATCATATTCATTCATTCTCTCCCTCCCTCTCTCTCTCTCTCTCTCTCTCTCTCTCTCTCTCTCTCTCTCTCTCTCTCTCTTGCTTTCCAAACATTTCCTTTCTACTATTGGGTTCATTCAATAACTCTATTCATTCACCAATTCTAACCCTATGACAGCATTGTATATTTTTACTACAAACACTAAATTTCACTGTCCTACCTCATCCTCTGTCCAGGACAGATGCCAATGCACTTTTATATAATTTAAGAGAGTTGAGCCTCGCAAAAAGACCTTCAGTATCTCCAACACCAGGATCATAGAAATGTAATGTGAACAGCTGGTCTAGCCCCAGCTCCTCACCCTCACTGCTTTCTTTGTACAGGAGAAGCCCAAAATACTATTTAAAAAAAAAATCCAAACCTGTTGATTTTATATGAAAGAGACTTTCCACACTCTCCATCTGCCCAGCCCAGTATTTTCGACCATGGAAAGACTGGAAATGTTTAAAAACAAATGAAAATATATGGCCAAGAGGAGATTTGCTTCTTCTGTGACTCAGAAGCCTGTTGTTGTTATTATAAATGAACTCCCACGAGTACAATCTGATATTTCAACACCTTCTGCAGGTATTGGTTAATATTTGCATCTGATGTGGATAGTTTGTGAAAGTCCAGCGGCATTGGAGAAACTCTCTGTTGACTGTGGATAAGGCCCAGAAGGCTTCTGAGGTCATATGAATTGGTAATGGAAGAATGAAGATGTTTTAAGACTTCTGACTTCAAGTTTCTTGTTTTGATTATTAAAAATACCCTGCCATTAGGAGCGAGGGACAGCCTGTGTCTAAACTTTGGTTTGAAATTCTCACAAATTCTGAACACAGGGCAAAGTTTACCTTCCTTTTGGGGATAAGCAATTTCCTTACTTAGACAAATTTTCAGGTAATTATGAGGTGATCATATATCTAATCATTTATTTCCCATGCACTGTATGCTAAAAAGAATTTAACCTTACATTCAGTTATCATCCCTTGGATACCAAATTAAATGGAAAGTACCTAATATTTACCCAAGTTGAAGTGCAAACAAATGCATGATGTCATAATATCACTCTCCCCCATACCTTCGGTATCTCCGACACCAGAATCATAGAAATATAATGTTCATGGCAGATGCTAATGAAGTGAGTCAGTCTTTGCAGGGAGTTACTGTCAATCAACTAGAGGCTGACACTGGAAATAAAATTGTTTTTCATGCTTGCACTATGATGATAATTACAAGTGTGGTATGTCTTTGTTGACTTTTAACAACAGTAAAATATGTCTTCAGTGAGTAACAAATGCTGGAGGTGATACTTTCAAATAAAGATGAAAGAATCTTTTCTGACTTTTCTCTCTTGACTATGGTTTATTCCATGACTAGTGTAAATGGGATCTGCAACCAGATTCAGTAGTCATGCAGTCTGATGCCTGAC